CCGCGGTGGGGGGGGCCCCCCGCCCCTGCCTGCCGCGGTGAGCGGCGGTGCGGCTGCTTGCCAGCCCCTTGGGGGCAGAGCTTGGAGCTTTGTCGGAGCGAGAGCTGGCAAAAATGTGCAAGGTTACGTGTCAGGCGGCGCCAAGCGGCGCTTCTTGGCCAGCGGTGGTAGCTTCTGGTGAACGTGTGCGGTTAATTTCTTGTAATTCCGCAAATCAACATATTCTACACATTTGCCACACGTGCTAGGGGGAAATAATGAAAACTTAAACTAATGATTCGCTTTTCTTCAAGTTGCTGGCAGATGAAGAAAAGATGAAATATGCAGAGATGGCTCGTAAGTGGAAGGAAAATAAATCTCCTCAGAAGTCAATGAGAGAGGTAAATGCTCGGAAAGAAACAGACTTCAGAGTATCTAAGGAAGGAAGGAAACAAGTGTTGTTTGAATTTGCTCAGAAATTGAGCTAAACAGGAGTGCCCTCGCTAGTGATTTTTTTTTTAAGCTGTGAGTAGTTCAGATGTGCTGTCCTCACTTAAATTTATTTGTTGAACCAGTGTAGACCCATTAAGCCTTTTCAAGCAGTGTAAACTTCCAGGTTTTATTTTATTTTATTTCAGCCAAACTTACATTGAGAAGTATTTCTTTATGTGCTCTGTTACATTTTTGCCTTTTTATTTTTTTCCCCGGCAGATCTTGTTTACTACAGCTTTTGAGATAAAGCTGCCCTCTAATACCAAAATGTTAAACTGTTGTTTTGGTATTGAACTCTGAAAATTATGACTACTCCTTTAGCTCTCTGTGTAGGTACTGAAGTTAAACAGAAAATTGTTCCAGTGTGATTGAAGTTGAGAATATTCCATACCATTTTAAATCAGCGCACCTTATTCTCTTGCACTGTATATTATCAAGAAAAATGTATTTCTTTCACTTTCGGCAGCTTAGTTTTAAAGGGGCTCATTTTTTAAATGTACATACATTATTAAAATATGCAATGTATGTACAGTATTAAATTTTTTTTTAAAAAAACACTTTTAATACGATAAATTGATGAGACTTCTGGTCACAGTTTCATATTACTTTTGCTTTGTGAATGACCTCAGCTGCAGTTGTTCTTTTCTGATTTCCTGAAACCACACCTTGTAAGCAGCCAATTTGGGATTCTTGAATGGACATATCCTGTAATAGGTCACTGAAATGTTGTGACCTACAAATATGTGAATATACACTCTGCTGTTATTTTTAGGCTGATATGATTGTGGAGAGAATAATAGTGTTATGGCAGAGGATGACATCTCTTAACACAGAAAAAAAGAAGCTATATTAAAGTAAATGTTGCTGAGGTCAGAAATAATGTTAAACAGATCCTTTCCATTATTTGCTGTTATGAAAAATGTTTTTTTCCCCTCTACCAGCACTGCCCTGAAGTGTAGTTTGCTTTGGAATTTGAATTATGTAAAGTGTCAGAAAGCTTATTTTATTATGGTCTTGGTTGTCAGTGTAAAAATCTGTGTGTCAAAACAGGTGCCCGATTCAGTAAATGAACAATACTGCACTTTTTTTTTTAATCTGTATTTTTGGATTCTAACTTCCAAATAGTTGGTGAGGATATGTTTTAGGACAGTAAAGGACTTAATTGACACTAGCAAAAATAGTAGAAAGATTCCAATGTGGAGTAATTGGTTAATCTGTATTAGGTAGTTTGGTCCATCTCAATTAGTAGGGAGCTGTTAGGGCAATATTGCCTCATCTGGGAGAGGCCTGTGAAAAGCTCCAGGAGGAGCTCTTGTATCATCGTTACACTATTTAGCAAGCGATATGTAATATATGAACATTACATGTCATTAGTATGCAGCTACTTGAGAAGACAACTAAATACTACATGGACACTTCTGTATTTCCTTCCTCTAGAGGTGGTATTTTAGAAAGTCGTATTGAGGAAGAGAAATAATTGCTTTTCCAAACTAAAAAACATATTTTTCGTCATCTGTTACTGAGATTGGGGAGTGTATAAGATAATGTATGATTTCAATTCATTAATCATGCCCTGTACATGGACCAACACAGTTATTTTTGTAGTGAAAGGTCTTTGTCGTCTTTTGCAGATGGAGCTTACTTGCATGGGCTTAATTCCCCGTTTTACAGTAAATAATTAAAAGTAACTGTGATCAGACCTCTTCTAGCCAAGGAGGTCATCCACAGTTAGCACATCTAGGATGCTATTGATCATACAGGCCTTGCATGGTTGAATTCTGCAGGCCTTCAAGGTTTCTAGGTGAATGGCCCAAGTCGTCCTATCCTCTTCAAAGCTTATTGTTTGCACGTAGGTTTACAGTGTTTTGCTTAATGGGCATAGGAGCCCCTTCAACTTGCTTTGCACCAGAGCCACCTGATGTCCATCTTGAATCTCTATCAACTTTCATTAATGCCATTCCTGGTCAAAGACAAATAATTCGTAGCATAATTCATATGCCAGTTTTGTTGAATTAAACAAAATCCCATTTGTGTGTGTATATACATAAATATATATATAAATATATTTATATATATTTTTATATATATATACACACACACATATATATATGTTTACACTTCAGAAATTTAGCTGTTTTTCTTCCCAACTGTACTGATACTGACCTAGATACTAAGAAGTCTCATTTCTTTTTATTAGAAGAGGAAACTTACCTTTCCAATCTGCACATACATAGGCATTTGTTCATAAACTTGTAATGAATAAAGCTATAACTAGCAATAGAGGTCATATAATTTATCTTAAAGCCTTCTTTAAGATGGGCCTGACTGGGGCTTAGTAGACTGTTTTGATTTTTAACTTTTTCATCTTTTCCAGGTGCCTAATCTAACTCAGCCAGTTCCTGCCGGTTTGACCACAACGACCCCCAGAAGTACTTCTCTTCCAGATGCCTCTGCTCTATGTTGGAAAAATGACCAGGGTATAGTAACCTTAAAGCATTTATCCTGATAGATACAATCTTGTCTTTTATAGGTAGCCTCAATGGTATCTGTACCAAGATGGTGGTTCTACTCTTCAGTGGTTTACAAGGCGTGATCCAAGTTCTGGGTAAAAGAATGCTTGTAGCAAATTTAAAGAATGAGGAGTTGTTAGATGTCAAGCCTCACCCTTGAGAAGTGTAGCTGTTAGACAAAACAATGATGTGACTGCTTTGGAGAATGAGAGAGGGGTATTTGTTTGGTCAGTGCTTTTGTAATGTACTGCCTAGCTTGCTTATTCAAAGGGCTCCTGAAAACTAATCCTTTCCTATCTCTTCACTGCTTTCAAATGGATGTTTAGACTAGAATGGAGTAATAAACACATCTGTAATTGTTTCTCCAATGAATGTTATTTTATTCTGAGAAGTGAAAACTTTTCAGCACTGAAAGTGTTGGAGTAGTGCTTACAAGCTAAGTCATAGCAGCCTGTTAATGCAGAGCCCAGATATAGTTTGTATTTGGTTAAGTCTGAGTGAGAGGGCTAATGCTTAGGTGGAGCTGAGGTAGGTTTTGTGATGTTGCTCATTTGTATTTCTCAGCAAAGTTCCTATAGGGTTCCCCATGACTTTATCTGTTTTTCGTAAGTATTTAGAGCTTGTGTAGGAAGAATTTCTCTGCTATGGCCTTGAAACCTGTAGAGTTTTCAAGATTTGTATAAGAGCACCAGAATTCAAACTAGGGACGACAGGTAGGGAATGACATAGTCTGGTCTTTGGCATCATTTCTGTGTAGAAATAGATACGCATCTCTGCATCTGCAGTAGGTCAAGATTTTTCTGATGAGGGGCAGAATTTAAGGGATTAAATAATTTAAACTTCAGTGAGATAATTACGTTATACTTGTGAATAGAAGCATTAGATGTGTTTGAGAGTCAATGTTTTTCAGTATTTCAGTAGCTTAAAATTTATATAAATGTAAAAGTTTTCTTAATGCCTTTGGGTTGCCTTGGGTGTTCCCGCCTTCCTTTTCAGAAGCTCATTTAGCAGAGGTGAAGTGATCCCTTAAAGTACTAGATGACTTCTCATCTCTTCTTACAGCATAAGATTACCAGCTCATTTTATTTCTGTCAGTTATTGAATTGAGCTTGTGAGGCTGCTTTGCAGTTACTGATGTCTTTTCTAGCTTTATTTTCCCAACAGGCAGAGAATACTATTCTAAAAAAGAACAGTAGCTCTTGATGACTTCCAGGCCTCTTGTGTGATGTGTGTTTACCTGTTTGTTGGTTTCTTTCTTATCTGCACACGATGCCATCTGGACTTAGCTAAGTGGAAGGAAGCTTGGCATTGCGATCTCCTGTGTGGCTGACCCTTGCACAAGTTTTGGCTGCTCACATGTCTCCCTCCATCTGTGCAGTTGCTCATTGCTCTCCTCTACTAACTTACATGGTTGAGCACACTGAAGCTATTGCTGGGTGAAATGAAGCAGGGTGCCTGACTAACCTCTAGCAGCTCTTCTGAACAAAACAGACCTTCTTCTTTCAGCTGTGGTTGCAAGCACCATCTACTTCCTGAACATTTACAGCCATGGCGAGCTGCAGGCTCACTGCGAGCAGCGCTTTCTCCCATGCGAGATTGGCTGTGTCAAGTACTCCCTAAAGGAAGGCATCATGGATGATTTCCATCGCTTCATAGATCCTGGTGAGCTCCAAGAAAGGGAAGAAAAGAAATAATTCAACTTGCTCTGGGGTGAGAGGGAGGCTTTCTAGTATCACTTACTGCTGCCCAGTTCAGACTTCTGGTAGTAAAATAATTTTGTTACTATGCCATAAGTGGTTTGGCTTCTCCTTAAAACATCTCAGTAATGCTTTTTTCTCTTAGTTTTTGAGCAAATGGGCTGAAGTATCAGAACTGTGTGAAAACTTTGAAGAGGGTAGAATAAACCTGGAAAGGACTGTGGCAGCAGTATCAAACAAACATCTAACATTCATACAAAAATTAAACAGGATGCTTTGTTTTTGCAAATCCATATATAACTGAAAATAACTTTTTTGAAGAGTTGTGGCACTTGAGCAAGGCCATAAGTGTAGATACATCTGCTGCTTTCAGCACATTAGACAATAGTGTGCAATATACAGTGTTAAGAATCAACCATTACATATTGTGAGGTTTTACTTATTTTCCCTTGCTCTTCTGCAGAAGTTCCGCCACGTGGTTTTCGGTACCACTGCCAGATGGCAAGTGAGTATCAATGGGGGAAAAAGAACAGAATGTAAGGGGGGTAAGATTTCTTGGACTGAGCTTTACTCATCTGTATACAAATGTTTTGCAAGTACGTATAGTTTCTCCTCTGGAAACTTCACCTCAAGTTTTGAAGACAAAGCAGTGACAGAGCAACTTGCCAGAGTTGCTTTGAATATTTCCTAAACCTATAAATGTCAGAGGGCTTCACCCAGATTTTTTCTTTGTAAATGACAGAGTTGTTTGTACTCTGCCTTCCTGTTTTAATTTGCAGGTAACTGCAGCATTTTCTTTTTGGATAAGACAAAAATCTTGACTTCAGATGCTTTCAAGCCTAGCTGAACAGAGTGCCTTTGTATTGATGACCAGTCCGTGTGTTTGTGTATTTATAGAGAGAGTACAAAGGTTCTAAAACATAATAGAATAACTGAATAGAATAACTCAAAGACACTAGTTTGTATTTGAAAGTTTGAATCTTGTGCAGCTTTACAGATGACAACAAAGTCGAAGTATTTATATTGCTATTGTGTCTGACTTGGCGTGCCTTTTTCCCATTGTGACTCTTACATGGCATTTATAGATACCAGTTCATTTCTATTAGTAGACTTCCTGCCCTTCTGTTCAGAAGGACTGTACAGAAAGCCCACACTTTCTTCTGTCTCATGTTTTGAGAGCGTCCCTTTAAGAGGAGGCTATGCATGTGTTCAGCCTAGACCCACTAGTGTTTGCTGGTGGAAGCAAGGCTCTCATAGCTTAGTCACAAATATTGCCCATAGAGAACAAGAGGGAGACTTGTGTGTGTGTATGTGAATAAGAGAAGATATAATGGAAATGGAATTGTATCTTTTAAGGAAACGGGACTGTTTGTAACTTTTTCTCCCTCTGCTTCCATTAGGTGACAACACTCATAAGATTCCTATATCTGGGTTTGAGCTGTCACGTGCTTGCTACCCAGTTGTCTTACGTGAACTTCTTGCCTTTGTCCAGTCAGATGGAGGTGCTTGGCCACGTTTCTACTGCAGGGTATGATCAAGGTCAAAGTAAGGAGACTGCTGTAAAGCCTTTTGTTTAAATGAGTGGAAAATAAACATCCTTTTCCAAATTTTCTTTTTTCATAGTTTCAATGCAGGAAGGGAGGAATGGCCCTATCAGAGTGTATATAAACTTCTTGAAAGTAACTGAAACTTTCTTTTTCTTTAGTGTGATGACAGATACCGAATCAACTGGTGCTTCAGACGAATGGCTAGCATGTCAGGTGATAAATTCATCATTTTTTTGCATTTGTTTTCCCAAGAAAGAAGTGTTGTGAATTTTGGATAGCTATATGTGTCAGAAAGATTTAGAGGGTTTTGTGATTTTAAAGATTTTTGCAAGCTTCATAAAAGCTGGCAGTGGTGGCTTGAACTGTTTTGTGTGGCTCTCTCTTCCCTTTACCTTTCCTCTTCCTCCAGTAAAAGAATAAATAAACTGGTGACAATACTACTACAGAGCTGAATGTTCAGTAAGCTAATCAGGTAGTGAGTGCATTTACATCTATAGTTTAAGTAGCACACACTGTTTTTTGTTCAGCCAGTTAAAGCAGCATTGGAGGCAGTGAGATTACTGTGAAGTTATGGTAACATAGGGGAAAACTAAAGGCTTCTGATGCAAAATTTGATGCAAGATTTGATGCAAAATTACTGTGGTGGAGAGAATTATGAAGCAATCTCCTAGGAAGACAAGTGTTATGTAGTATTACTGATAGAACAAGGTTTACTGAGGTTTACAAGAGCTTTGAGGCTCCGGTAAGAGGCTGAGCAGTGACTCTACAGTGGCTGAGAAGGAGACATTCTGTTCAGGTGACATTTAGTTCTTCTCCTGACCTTGACTTCCTCCAAAATGTAGGCTTTGAAAGCCATCTGGAACTTCTTAATGTGGAAGACCTGATAGTGGAACTGTACTGGAAGAAATATCAAAAGGAGCCATCCAAGACTTGGGTGTGTAAAGAACTAGATGTCTTCCTGTGGGATTACTCCAGTAATACCAGGTACATTGGGTTTTTTTTGGTAAAAATGAGCATTAGCCTGGCATCTCTTGGTGTACTACATCAATACAGCTTGTTCCCTGGTAGACAGCTTTCATCAGCAAACCTTCTAAACAGAAATACTTCCTATCAACATGAGAACTGGCAATGCAAAGCACTGTCTTTATCAAAAAGGAATATGAAGATAGATGGCTTTTAATGCTGAGTCTGGAGCCTAATTTAAAGGAGGGGAAGGGGAAAAAAGAATAAAGTACAGGATGGTATTTGACTGGAAAAAATAGAAGGAGATTCAGACTAGAGGGAGACCTTAGCAAGAATGGGAAAATGTGTGTTTAAAAAATTTGCAGAGGAGAATGGCAATGCTTATGGTAAGTAGAGCTACTTAACAAGTTTAAGTCTCACACTAACAATGTAAGCTCCTTTCTCACATAAGATTCTCTTCCCTTTTTGGCCACTGCAGCGTTGTGTTTCTTAGGCAGAGCTCTTATCTCTTCCTGAGTCACCTAGATCTGAGTTATTTGAACACCAGTGAATCTGTGAAATTTTAAAGACATATTACGTGGTCACTGAGCCATGATACCTTTAATGCTTGCTCCTATTTGTTTTTGCTAGTTCAGCTATTCTTGCTGTTTAAAGATGTAGGTGCTTCTGTGATAAACCTGAACTTAATTCCATGTAGGTGCAAGTGGCATGAAGAGAATGATATACTTTTCTGTGCTCTGGCGTCCTGTAAGAAAATTGCGTGAGTATTGCAAGTGAGCTCTCACTGGTACCATGACTTCTTTGCTTTATTTATTTTTTTCATTTTTGACTGTGTCTTTGACTTAATTGAGTCATGTAGTTCTGCATCCTGAGTTTTATTTATTCCTTCTACCTCCAGGACTTCATTCGGTTTGTAGCTTTATAATTTTTGTTTGTTTAGCTTAACAGCATGCTGTAAGCAGCAGCAACTAATGTAACGTAGTAATGGTAGTAATGTCCATCTTGGTTTGTAGTCATCCTTTCACAAATTTCACTTGAACCTGGAATGTTGAGGAAAAAAAAATGCTCTTTATGGACGAATTTCACTGTTTCCTTCAGCAGCTTAGCACACCTGTATGTGGTGGCAAAATCTGTGTATATTCTAACCCATCTTTATTTTGGAAACTTTTATACAGTTTCACATACAGTGTAGATGCATATACTTTTCGTAACCTTTTGGATGGGAGAGAGGGAGGGGAAAATAGTAGTCTTCAGATGGGGAAATGCTATTTAAGATTTGACTCAATTATAATAACACTACTTGAGAGAAATAATAATGAGCACTACTTGAGAGAAATAATAATGAGCAATCTTTCATTCAAAAAGTTCTGCTATACCTTGCTGTTGCTTTCCACACTTTTAACTGGTTGCATTTCATAGTTTGGGGAAGCAATGAGCGGATTGCTGCTTTTAGAAGTATGCTGTGAAACTGTCTAGTTGTTAGGATAATGTCCTTCTGCCCTGTCTGCTCCAAGCATCTCAGTCTGCAATTCGTTGTTGTTGTCTGTTGAAGAGCTATCTGCCTCTGTAGATGGTCCATAAAGTATAGTCCTCTTAATAAAACATTTTTCTTGCCTTTTTTTCCTTCCTACCCTACTTTGAAGATATTGCATCAGTAAATCTTTGGCTAGTGTGTACGGAGTTTCACTGACAGCAGCTCACCTACCTCTCGAAGACTATGTTTCCCATGACAGCACAAATGCCAAGATAGTAGTGCTGGATGCTGGACGTTTCCAGGTCAGATTCTTTGAAACAGTATACTGGTATTTCTAGCTAACCTAAGCATTTCAAAACAGCTTTTTTTTTTTTTTTAATTTGCAAATTTCAAGTTAGCCATTTTCTCTTTGGATGTTTATTTTGAGGTGTGCTAGGTAGATTGGTTATTTTACGCTTGCTTCAGGTCTTGATTCCAGGCTCTTCTGTAACTGTAGAGTCTTGCCTTAGTACTGTCTTTAAAATAAGCAGCGAGGACTAGTTCATATCTAATGCCTTTACAAGAAGTCGGTCAACATTAAATGTGGTTATCTTTGAGTGCAACTCATAGTTATCTTGAGTAGTCTGCTTTGGAAGACCCATCTGTTATTTTTGGTGTTTATTGTTTCGTACAGAAGACGAAGGGTAGGAGCTCTGGACATGACAGCAGCTTCATTTCTCCAAGTCAGGATCAAGGATTCGTCCCTTCCGCTTGTGAGTCTGAGACTTTAACATTTAAGAAGGGGAAGAGGATATTTAAACTTTATCCAGTTATTGTATTGATACTTGATATTGATTGTATTGAGATGAAAAGTTTGCTGGACGAATAACTAGAAAAATTCAGAGTTTGCCACTTATTTCCTGCATGAAAATACATGTCACCTGAAACTGTTGCAACTATAAGTCGTGGCATTTTAAATTAATTTGATGTTTATGGAGGTCAAAATTCCTGCCTCTGCTCCATAACTCTAGTATTAGACCTATTGAACAGATTGAACCTCAAAGCATATGGAAGAGGATTCTATTAATTTATATAGGCTTTAAAGGCTGATTTGATTGCAAAAGGTGTTTAATTTAATAGGTGGTTCTTCCTGTGGTGTGAAGACTTCCCCTTATGGAACAAGTACCACTCGAGGAAGAGGAATTACTCGATTGCTGAAAAGTACATCTCATCTAACCAACTCTTTTGGTAATTGAAGGTCCGCTTTCCATCCAGGAGAGCTGTATGTTCTGTTTTTCCTTCTCTTCAGGATAACCAATAGTTTCTCCAGATTGTGTTTTTTTTTTTCATCTTATATGCAACCCTTAACAGTTCAAACCTTTGTTAGAATGATAAAACTATTAATTGGATTTAAATAGGATAAAAATCTTGGTTTCTGCTTACAAGAAGACTTATTCTGAAAGGACCTGACAATTGCGTCCTCTCTCTAAAAAGTAAATACTGTGTTAGTTCACTTTCCTCCTGTGCGGAGCGGAAATGTAAAATCAGATTGTACTAGTGAATTAGAAGAATTGTTTGAAGACACATGAACCACGAAAGAGGTTTATTTCATCTTTAATAATCTTCATTCCATCTTCTGTATTTGGAAGGTAGAATTTCAGTACAAAAGTCCCTCCCTCAAAAATGAATGGGAAGGGGCAGTGGAACTTTAAAAGGCTATGTTAGGAGGATTATAAATCTAGTAGTCTCATAGAATTGCTGATAATATCTTTTCTGCTCATTAAGAACTTGTGTACTCGTTCAAAGCAGAAAAAAGCAGACATAAATAAGATGTCTTGGGAAAATGTGATGGTGGTTTTATCCATCTGTTAATGTTCTTTTGGAGACTATATATCAGGAACAAGCACAGCATGGCTATTTTTTTTCTTTGCATCATTTGTGCAGTTAAATTATGTATATATTAGTATAAAATTAAACTCTTGAGAATCTGATTTTCTTGTTTGTTTGCTTATTTGGTTATCAATCAAATAGAAATAGTAGTCTTCAGGCATGATTTCCACAAGTTTATTAGCATTGAGGTAGATACTAGTTATAATTATTTGTGGGAACATAGAAACTAGGAGACTGTCCGACATATTACTGGAAAGTTAGGTTTTTCATCTTATGGAGATACAAATTCTGGACTGGCTTTCCAGAAAGTTTTCTCCTCATTTTTTTGAGCTGTTTCCTATGTTTTACTCCAACTGAAGTCCAGTTGTGAGATACTATTTCCAAACTAACTGTGAGGTGAAATTGATTTTCTTTCTGATAAGAAGTAGAACTGCAAATAAAGTGTTATTTTGGATAACAAAAAAAAAATCAAAAGGAAAGTCAGTTGTTCATTTGGTTTGAAATCTGTTCATATTTCTGTAAGGACATTTTGAGGTCCTTTTTCCAGTTCAGTGGGGTCACTGAACCATTTTGATGCTACAGTTTCCTTATTTGATAGAATTTTCTTACACGTTTCCATTTTTGGTCCACTCAGGCTGTTGTTCTACCTGTTAGGCTTCACTAGATAAGAGACTAAGATTTTGGGACTGAGGTCTCAAATGAAGCACATGGAAACATGTTAACAGGGTTAGAGTCACTTAGTGGTGATAAAAGCTTCTCTACGAGTTGAAGAATTTTGCTCTAGTTTTCAGTGTCTTAACTGACAACATTTCACAATGTACAGAATTGTAATCATTGAATTATTTTCAGAAGTCAATGTTGTAATAAATGCTTCATGCTTCAGTTCTTATGTAGAAGAAAATACATTATTCCCTGAATGTTTATTTGATCTCAAAGTACTCCAACCTAAGCATATCTGTTTCTGTGCTTAGATCATGAAATAACTTCAAGAATGAAATTAAATGTGACCAAAAATGGAGAAATAAAGTTCCATGGCGTATCTCTACCTTGTCACCTGGACCTTAAATTAATATGTATGTTTTTCTAAGACCTTGCTAGATGCTGCAAGTAGGTCAGTAACTATCTTGCTGTAATAGCCAACATCCTGAGGTGTTACTGTAATGAAAACTGAAATGAGAACGCTAGTAATATATACATTGGCTAGATGTACATTATATTTAATATTTTATACTATGTACCTTAAGGGGAGCCTTACTAGCTATTGGAGGATGATAGATAGTGATCTCATTTTGGGCCTTTATTTTCCTTGCTGTTGTGGAGTTTGACACTTCAATATAATTTCTTGAAAAGGAAAGAGTTTTGGTTCACCATGGTTCACTCATGGCTTCTCTCATTTAATGCAAAAATAGAAAGGAAAGCTCTTCCTTGCAGCCTGAGCACACTTTAAGTGCAAGGACTGCTCCTTGTAAGGCACAGACTGTAGGTCAAAATCAGAACAAAGTAATAGATCCCTGGGAATTCTCTCCACTTGCATGACAAAATTCTTGAGAGGAAATAAACGATGCAAGCTAGCTTGGGGGCAGAGTGTGAGTGTTGCAGCCTGGATGCTTTAAGCATATGCTTTGCCATGGTGAAAGTAACAGTAATGCACTGCTTTCTGCATATGGGTGTATAGATGTGGTACCAACTGAACTATCTCCAGAAGAGATTTTTGTAAAGAAGGCATTTGACAGATTCAGGCAGACCTGACTCACTGCCCTCATATTGTGGGGGTTGCACAGCCCAGTGATATTAATGAGTAAAAGTCATCCTGGTTTTGCACACATATTACCAAGTTACAACTTTCTTGTTATACAAGCAACCACACAGATGATTCAGTTGTGTTGCTGCTTTCTAGGATGAACACCTTGGCCAAGCAAACAGTTTTTCAAGGGTTATGAAAACACAGTGCAATGTGACAACAGAACTTTGTTTATCTATTCTATGACACTAGTATGATTACCTTTTAATCACATGTGTCTTTTGGATTCTTTTTACAGAGTATATAACATACTGGTGGGGGGTAAGCTGAATTTAATGCCCCCATTTAGGAAAAAAATAAGAATCTGGGTATTATTCAGATGCATTTCTGACTTATTGCAAAAGTATGAAATGGTTTAGTTTGGAAAGGACTTCTGGAGAGGTCCAAGCCCCTGCTCAAGCAAGGTAGAATACAGCACATGTGGGTAGGTTTTGAATATTTCCATGGAAGGAGACTCCACATTCTCTCTGGGCAACCTGTGCTAGTGGTTTGTCTCCCTCCGCTTTTAGAAGTTTTTCCTTATATACAAATGGAGACTCCTGTGTTTCAGTTTGTGTCCATGCCTTTTGTCCTGAGTGGACCCATCTTCTTGACATGGTCCCTTAAAATATTTGTACACGCTGATCAGATCACTCTCCAGGTTAAAGAGGCCCAGATTGCTCAACCTGTCTCATAAGACACATGCTTCAGTCACCTAATAGTCTTTTTAAACCTAAGGTAGACTGTATCTAGCTGCTGCATGTCTCTCTTGCCACCTACTCCTTTCAATAAGCTATAGAAATGAGGTATGCAGAAATAGGTCTTATTAGCCACTTTCTTCCAGCTAAGAAAATTTATCCATACCTTGCATTCTGACTTAACAGAAATGTTCTTTTATCTGTTCTTAATCCAAAACAGTAATATCTGGGTTTGATCTCATGAGTTTGATTAAAAATTTTGGAACTCTTGGAAGATACTGAGAAAATTTTAGTGGGAATACTTGTACCAAAAACAAACAAACAAACAAACAAAAAAAAAAAAACCCACTTTGGAATGTGGAAGTGTGTTAAAGTTTCTGTAGCTGACCAGATGGCTAGCTCATGGTAAACTTCTGCCAGGGCTCCCAGATCCTTTTCCAGAAGATCTTTTTCCAGAACCTGCTCGAGGTAGTTTCTAGCAGGCCTGTGCCCAGCCTGCACCTGGTGCCTGGGGTGATTCCTCCCAGGTACAGCACCCTGCACTTGCCTTTGTTGAACCTAAAGAGCTCCTCACAACCCGTTTCTCCAGCCTGCCGGGGTCCCTGTGAACGGAGGCCCAGTATCAGAAGGAGGCAATGTATCAGCCAAATTCTCCCAGTTCTGCTTCAGCAAATGCGCCAGGGGCTGTGCTTGGCCTCATCATGCGGCTCCTTGAGTAAGTTGAACGTGACTGGACCCAATATCAACCTGTGGATGTGCTGCTGGTGCCTGGTCCCCAGCTGTACTTTGTGCTGCTGATCAGATCAGATCACACCCTTCCAAGCTCTGCCATCGAGGTAGCTCTCAGTCCATTTCACTGTCTGCTCATCCAGCCCGTTTCATCAGCTTGCATGTAGGATGTTATAGGAGACAGTGTCAAAAGCCTTGCTGAAATCAAGGTAGACAGCATGCACTGCCTGTCCCTCATTCACGGAGGCAGCTGACTCAGTACAGAGAGCTATCAGTTTGGTTAAACATGATTTCCCTTTCACAAATCCATGCTGACTACTCCCCATCATCCTCTTGTTCGTATGTTTGGAAATGGTTTCCAGATAAGTTGATCCATCACCTCCCTAGGCATTTATGGAAGGCTGATAGGCCTTCAGTTCCCTGGATCCTCCTCCTGGAAGGGACATGTGCTTTCATCCAGTTCTCTGGTACCTCCCTGATTGCAGTGAATCTAGAGTTTGACCTTCTCATAGTTATTGCAGCTGAGGTTGCCTTCATATCCCTAACTAATTCTTCCTTGTTTTTAAGTATGAGGCCTAGCAGATGATCTTACCTGGTCAGCTCCACAGTGGTTTCTTTCAGGAAATTGTCATCAGCGTACTCCAGAAACTCCCTAGATTGCTTGTGCTCTGCTGTGGTGTCCCTCTGTCAGATCATTGAGGGGTTTGAAGTCCTCTGTGAGGACCAAGGTCTGTGAACATGAGGCTTCTAGTTGTCCGAGACACGGCAGCCTCATCTGGTTCGTCCTCACCAGGCAGTCTGCAGCAGACACCCACAAGAGTCTCCCATAAATGCTCTGCCTGCTAATCCCAACCCTTAAAGTCTCATTGTCCATTCCAAGGCAGGGCTCTGTGCATGCCTGCTGCTCTCCCCCACTAAGGACGACTCTTCATCCTCACCTTCCAAGTGTCAGAATACAAATTGGACAAGGTGATGGCGTGGGAAAGGAGACCTAATGTCTTTATTCTTGCGACCTGTAGCTTCAGGACTTGTGCCGGTTTCAGGACCTGCATTACCTGAAGGGAGAGAGAGCTATGGCTAAGGTATGATTAATCAGTACATTACATCCTTAGCAATATGTCAGTTCTCCAAATCTTACAGGGTAGAAGGAACTCGGGTGGGGGATTTGGGTGGAAAGGCATGTTAAATACTTATTGCTGGATTTTGTTGCTACCCTTGTTCGAGTGGCACCCCACTTGATATTGGTAGTTGATAGTATCAACCCCAGTTGATATTCATGAGATCCGTACTGACTCACACTCAAATGGGAGCTTACTTGCATTTCAGGGACTCTAGGCCTTAAGCCATCACTGGATATGGAGCTCTGCTGAAGGTCTTTCTTGTGAAGAGAAATTTTTATGTATATAAATAGACTGTATTCAAGAAAGACCTGACTGATTTTCCTTGCAAGATGCCTGTAATTCTCTGCTCCTGATACCTTTAAACAATGCTCATAATTCCTATTCCACATATTCCTGTGTTTTTTCCCTGCTAGTTGAGTAAGTGCTAATCCTTTCTGCTATAAAAAATTGTAAACATTAACAAAAAGTTAAGTGGCTTGAGTGTGTATGTGAAATAAAGTTATTAATTTCTGATTGATAGAAGTGTATGTAGCTGACTCTAAAGGCTTTAGCCTGTAAAGGCTTTCTGTGTGGCAGGGTAAGTGTGCCATTGCAAGGTAGGGAAATAACAAGTTTATTAGCTAGTTTTTGCCCTCTTGGTGTCTTCTGCAGGATTATCAGACCCTTACCGCTAGAATGTACTGCCGATTATTTATTTTGTTGTTGTTGTTGCAGTGAGTCTGTAAAATGAAGGAATTGTCCAATGCCAGCCTTGTATTATCTCTGTTCCCTCACTTTTCCTTGGTTCTGTCTTAGAAGTTCCCACAAGCTTCTGTAAATACCATTTTCAAATAATCACCCCCGACACACACACATACACTAAACAGGTGACAGGCAGGAGAGAGGTTTTTAATTCCCTTGTGTAGGGCTATAATGAAATTACTACTAGTTCCAATGCACACAGAATTAATCTTGACAGTTTACTCATCATACTGTGATCTTCCTTAGATAGAAGACTGTGTCAGTGTATTTCCTGAAGCGGATGGTACAAATGAATAGAAAAGTAGTGCTGTTACTCTAGCAACGTGAATTTTGAAATAATTAACTCTTGTGTATCTGATTGGTTCTGAATCATACTCCACCATGGTTTTAGCGGTCAGCAATGGCAGCCACCTTTGTCTTGTTTTTCACTAGCAAGTCTCCCAGGCTTCTGTGCTTAAGGGGAGGCTTAAAGGCAGGTCTGTCTATCTGGTAGACTGATGAAGGGGACTTTGCTTCCCTTGTACACTTAGTTGTAGGTGAAATGGCCACTGAGGTAAGGTCAGAGGGTAAAACGCAATGTTTAAAATTCCTGCTAGTATGCTTGCCAGAAGAAGTCTTGCCTTGTAATGAAGGACAAAGTCTTGCTGTGGCTGCGCTTCGCACTTGAGGCGGCAGATCTTGGCAGTCCAGCAGACGGGAAAATGGCTTGGCGTCAGCCTGAATTTTGATTATTATCTTCTGGTTCTTTGTGTTCATGCACAGATAAAGCATATAGGAACATATTCTTCCATGGAAATTCAAGCATAACTAAACAGTAATTTACTAAAAGCTATGAAGCGCACCACGTAGGAAAATAGGTTTTTTGGCCCAGTCAGTACTTTCTGTCTACTTTCATTTCTATGTTGGAGTGAGCATTGAAGTTGGGTATAGATGAAGAATTCTGTCTAGTGCGTTAATTAAATATTCATAGCTTTCTTGTCCTTTTCCTTCGCCTTCCTCCCAAACATGTTACTGCTTCTTTAGTTGAGGCTCTTGGAGCTATCCTTACTTGGGTGATCAAAAGACTTTCAAGTCATTAAGAATGGGAGTGTTCAGGCCAGAACAAGCTTGGAGAAAGCTAGGAATTTGAATATGTGTATTTCTAGGTGGCTGAATTTAACAGATTTGTAGTCTGATAAATGCACAACTTCCAAAATGTTAGTATTAGGTATTTTTGTTATGAGATTCAACGAAATATCTAGCCCCTCTGTGTACTATAACTTAGTTGATTTCCCAGTGAAGAGTGTAGCAGATTCTAAGCAGTTCTCCTTTGATATTTGACTCCTAGATTTTTCTTTTCCTGCTAGATTTGTAGGGCATAGCAAATTGAATTTATATTGTTGACTCTTCTTATAATCTCTTCTTGAGAGCTGTATTTTGTGGCTACTCTGTCCAAATAACTTAATGCAGATTAACACATTTTTCTTTTATGTTTAAAATGACCAAAGTGCAAATGTTAGATGAAGATTCAACAAATCCTAAGAGTGTAGAGTGTGGGATAGTTAATGAAGTGTTAAAATGTTTGAGAGGCCAGACCCAATTTATGGCCACAGATGCCATGGATAATCGTCATGTGCTTTTGCTCATCTTTCCAACTAAGATCCTTGATGAGAAATACATGCTATTATCCCTCAGGAGAAGAGCCCTCCTCAGCTTAAGGAGGTAGATGTTTGTTAGGGAACAGGGAGTGCTGACTAATATCTGTAACATTTATAAAAAGAAGTAGCTTTTTTTTTTCCACAGTTCAAACCTGTTAGAATACTCATTAGATGATTCATAATCTACTTTCGTGTTGCTGATGAAAATGAAGTACATATCAATGTATTCTATTTATTCCTCTATTTCTGGGGTATGTACCTCCTGCTTTTAATCCATCTATGTAATGAAGGCTGTCATGTATCTGAACAAAGTATAGGAAGAAGTACTCAGAATGTCTCGCTGAGTTGCAAGTTCATTGCCAGGGAGATTTGGTTTTGTGTGTATTTTGGAGAGTATAGGAAGAAGTACTCAGAATGTCTTGCTGAGTCGCAAGTTCTTCATTGCCAGAGAGATTTGGTTTTGTGTGTAGTTCGGAAAGAACTAGAGTTGGTGTTTACAGGTTTTTTTTTTTTCATAGAATCATAGAGTCATAGAATGCTTAAGGTTATAAAGGACTCTAGAGGTCATCTAGTCCAAGCCCCTGGCACATGCAGGGTCACCTAGAGCATGCGGCACAGGACTGCGTCCAAGAGGTAAAACAAAGCTGAGCCGAAAGTTGTTATTCTGGTAGCCTGTTCTGCACAGTTCAAAATCTAGAAAATGCTGCTCATGTATAGGAGGATTGATGGTTCTTCTGTAAATTGGTTACAGATTAAAAGTAGCTACTTAGGGGTAAAAGGTATGTGGGAAGTACTGCAGTAAGATTCCAAAAGCCTCCTGGAAGTCATAGATGCAAAAAACGTTTTGCAAGAATGAATATTTTAGTGTAAGTCACTTATTAGTCATGTCTTTTAAAAACATCTTTTAATTAATGTAAATAATAATATTAAGAATAATAACATTAACTTTAATAATTGACAGCCTTTTGGACAATCCATTCTCTGGGAAAGATAAGACATTAGTGAGGTAGGTTCCTTTCTGTTTAGCACCTACCCTGTTACAGCATTTACTTTCTAATTAAATACATGAAATTCCTTCATTTCCCCTTTCTTTCCATTGCCTTGTAGGAAGTAGCTTTTTTTGGGGGGGGGGGGCTTTTATTAAAGATGTACCTGTCATGTGCATGTTGCCACACTGTCCTTTTTCAGAAGAAAAATGGACAATTTATGACTTGCCCATACAGCATCGGGAAAGGAATAACATAATGAAAATTAGCGCTAGGAGGTCTCCGAGATGGAATTCAGGAGTTCAACAATCTGACATTTGCAAGCTAATTGAACGTTTCTAGATCTTTCTAGCTCCCCATTATGGGTCAGTCTAACTTCTTGACTCAATGTTTAACTCTGTTACCTTATCCATTCCATTCATACACGTAGTTATTCCAAGCATGAGGCTTTCATTGGTCAGCTGTGATTTTTTTCCAAATTTTTATTTACAAGTACAGGTATAATATATACAAAGAACATGTTTAATAAAAATCCTTAAAAAACAGATTGCTTCAGACTTGCATAAAATCATCTTTATATGGGAAGTGTCACTGTGGTAGAACTTAAAGCTGTGATATTACCTAATGCCATAACCACTGTCATCCTTTCTCAATGACATGCAGTTAGTGATCTTGGAACCTATGGATGTAAACTTTGTTCTCCAAATTTTGTTCTCCAAATGATCATGACTAGCATCTTTTACAGAAAGTGGAAAGTCTGGAAGACTGGTTATTGTGGGCTGAATTGGATAATTGGATGAAGCAGTGCTTCCTATGCCTTTTTTTTTTTTTTTTTTGGCTTGAGGTTTTATGTTAGTGCCTATTGCGTATTAAGCACTTTTTTTTCCCCCCCCCAGGGAAAAAAGACATTCTCTCCTGGGAACTTAAAGTCAGAGCTATGAGCTTTGACTTGTATATTCTAGGGGGAAAAAAAAACCAACAAAACAAACAATGAAAAAAAAACCCAACAAAAAACCACCTTCTTCTTGCATCGAGAGCGCTGGATTTGATTCCTTTTCTACCATGATGTCTATGCTTCAGCAGGTTCTGAGGATGGTGTTAGCCTCCTGCTTCTTTCTTCATCTTCAAAATCATCGTCTGCTCTCTGACTCCTTGAAGGTTGTTCCTGGGCGGGTTCATTTCTATCTTCTCTCTCCCTAAAACATTGTTCCGGGATAGAGATGTTAATTAAAACCAGTTAGAAATATTCCTGAAGAGATTTTGCATTAGAATGGATTCAGATTGCTGTGGGTCCTGAACTCCATAAACTGAGTCTTTTTAGT